TATGTGCTGTCTATGGGTGCTGGAATCTCTGTAGTTTTATGGCCATATGGATTTTAGAACAGCTTGTCTGTGACTGAGTGTCTCAGTTACAGTCAAGTGTATGTGATCTATGGACTTGTGTCCCGCTTCAGTGACAGTCTGAGCTCCTCCTTCACACAAGAGCCTTTCATCTCATGAAGACATAGATGACCCTTGAAGCCACTAAGAGATGTAAAATAAATTGATATATGCAGGTTCGTACTCAAGCGGAGAGTGTGACCTTATGTTGTTGTTATTTTGTAATAAAACAAGATATTTAATTCTCATATTCTAGCTCCGACTTCTAACACTAAGCACACTCAAAGATTGGTCCTCCATTTATCAGGTTACAATACTTTTAACTGCAACTGAGATTTGTTATATTCAGTTAATTCAGTTATTGAATGCTGCCATCTGGTGCAAAACTGGAGTACTTAGACTCTGGAGAGCTCTCACTCCTGTGAGAAACAAATTTTCATATGGTGCTGATGCTTTTGTGTTGCAGGAGATTCAGACTACAATGTGAATGGAAATGTGTTTGCAATTGTACTTTTTAAAAATTACTGTAGGTTGGGGTGTTTTGATAATAAATAGAAAAAATATGTGGCTTATTATCAATTACATCAAATCAGTTAAAGGTTTAAAAACAGGACCTGTAGGCAGGTATACTGGCGCTCAAGCACCCAACACAACTCAGAGCTGTAGACACACTAACTGAATAGGGTTTAAACAGTCGGGCAGCTTTAGATGTCCTTCAGTAGTCCATCCTCCTATGATCTGCTGAATTGAATAGTTATCTCTTTTTATCTTTTCAACTTTATTTTTGTTAATTTTCTTTTATGAACCATCTGTAACATATAGACAGTTGAATTAACATACAACAGAAAAATCAATTAATTTCTCTCCAGTGTAGTTTTTTTTTTTTTCCCTGCCCTCTGAGATGTTAACTGTTTCTTTCGCCGTTCGGGTCAAATGGTGCCAATTCGGTGGAGCTGTGTCAGTAGGTTAACTGTGTGTCCCTACATGTTGCACCCACTGATATCTATCACAGCTGCCAATCAGGGACGCATTAATCAACAGCGGTGTCAAGCGGCATGGAGCAGAGAAAGTGTCTGGCCCTCCCTCGATCCATCTCTCCAGCAGGAAGCCATCATCTGGCATTGTAAGTTTTTTTTTTTTTTTTAAATTGCACAGTCAAATGAGTCAGTATAATGCACAGATTGATTAGTTCAGTTTGTCTCCATCATGAGTTGTAAAACCAGCCTATCGGTGTTTTTCTCTATTTCTCTGTCTCCCTGTCCCATCCAGGTAAAGTGGAGAATTGGCTTCAGGTGATTTGGAGAAGATCTTATCTTCTGTTAGCAGAGGAATGACACCATAATGGAGCAGCAGGGGTGCAATTACCTTTTAGCCCTCCACCCCTTCATCCTCCTCCTCTCCTTCCCTCTGCCTTCACCTCAGCCTGCACTGACAAATTAAGATTAATGACAGAGATTAGTAAAGAACCTGCTTACCTTCCAATATCGCACAGTCAGGTTGAGTGTGAGAGCGGTGAGTACAGCTCATCACTTCTTAGGGTTCGGTTTATGCTCTTGTAATACCTGTTCTGTGTAAATCTTCCCTATCTGTTATTGAAGTAAAATTCAAAATTTAAATTAAAATCCAAAGTGAACTGTCGCTCTGACTTCACTGACTTAGAAAACAGACAAAGCAGAGTATTAAATATAAAGAAGCAAATGCATTATTTAAAGATAAAAATTTCAAGAAAGGACGTTTAACTTTTTTTCCCTGTATGTTTCCCATTTCTCAGCTAATTTTGAAAATCCAATAAAATACAATAGACAGTATAAAGAAGGAGTATTTAAAATATACACAGCCATTTACAACAGTAGGTGACAGACACTGTAGAGGAGTAAGCACGAGGTGTGTAATGAGTAAAATGTGTTATGTACTTTACTGCAGTTGTTGCTATTTGTGACGTAAATGTTCATTCCTCCAGGAAAGTTCAACTGGCACACATCTTCAGAACACAGCTATCTCACAAAGGTCACTTACCTTATGATGACTTAAAAAAATTAAAGGCCTTGAGGCATAATTGAAGTTTTCAGATTGATAGACTCAAGTATTGTTTCTGATGGGATTATAGTGGACACACACTATGTGTACACAGAGGGTTCTTTTTAGGTGTTCGGTGCTTGTAAAAGTGTTAAAACTAGTCATGTAGACCCCCTCGCTACATGTGTGCACCATCCATACCCAATTGTCAATGTGAAATTAACTCCCAAAGGTAGAGGGACACCAGAACCCCCCCCCAACATTCAGGTTGGGTCAGGGGGGGTCGGGGCAGAGCCAATCTTAGCCGCCAATCAGGTGAAGGCGGGGTACACCGGGCTAACACATAGACAAACAACCACACACACGCACATGCACTCCTATGGGCAATTTAGAGACACCAATCAACCTAAGCTGCATGTCTTTGGACTGTGGGAGGAAGCCGGAGTACCCGGAGAGAACCCACGCAAGCACGGGGAGAACATGCAAACTCCACACAGAAAGGTCCCAGGTGGGGCCCGAACCCGGAACCTTCTCGCTGTGAGGCAACGGTGCTAACCACTGCGCCCCCCCAACATGCTATGCCCCATCTGAGTGGACTCTACATGACTGAATGTGTACCCCCCTGCCCTGCAGCTGGAGGTGTCTGTTTCACAGGCCTCTGTAATGCGGGACCTGGGAGGATAAGGTTTCACAGGTACAAAAGTTTCCACTTTAATCCCATCACACAAAGTGAGAGGTCAGGGCTCAGGGCTTGTGCATAATCCCAGGTTTATCTGTCCAGGTCAGCCAAGAGACAGAGAGCATGCAGAGTGGAAGCGATTACCACCCCCCCTCTGATTTTATTCAATCAGTGTTTGCACAGCAAATGGTGAGAAGGATATCTCAATAGCAATTCAGCTATTCCACACCTCAGTGCACGCAGGAGAGGTTCACTCATAGATACAGTTCTCCTCTGGCAGCTGTTGCTGCAGGTTGATGTTATTAATCAACATCAATTTTCTCTAAAATAAATGTATTCTTGTTTATAAAGAGCCCTTTGTTTCTTATAATGGCGAAATGTAAAGAAACATATATAAAGTATGTGCCAGTTGACTGGAAATAATTAGTTTAGAAATCAAGCCAAGGGAAGTTTTAGTTTTTTGTTCTTGCATATCTTTTAATTTAGTGGCCTCTATAAGAGGTCAGACTGAGACAATGATGAATTTCAAAGGATGAAAAATAAAAATAAGAAGATCTCTAGCTGCTGACTGTGGCGTGTTGTAATGAGCTAATCAATTTCACCGCAGGTGGTTTGTGCTGAAACAAGCTTTGACGTGGCCTCCTCTGGAGAATACCACCTGCCCTGGCTTCACACTGTGCCCTGGTCAGAGGTTCAGACTTATGGTACATCAAGCTAAAATGAAGTTTAAAATATTATACACATGCCTGTTATATTTCAGTGCCCTTTTTATAGACTGGACAACAGAAATGTATTGGACTAATGAATGCAACCTAATTCTTAATGAGCAAAAAGGTGACTTCACATGAAACTTTTACTTTGCTTTTGCTTCACTGTAGACAACGAGCTTTCTCAGAAATGTACCACACATTCACGCCGACAACCACAAAGCATACTGTTGCATCCTTCCACAGGTCCCTTGAAGTGTGAGACTTGAAGGAAGAGTGGTTCTTTTGAAGGCAGGTAGAAGGCGTTGCGGGGCTGAGAGGTGCTGGAAAGGGCATGTCCAAACAGACTTTAGGCCCTGAGTGATGGGGCACGGGAAATGGTAACAGGACACCTCACCCCTGCTCCCATGTCAACACAGTCATGTGAATCACTGCTGTGAGAGTGTCTGAAGATCCAGGAGACAATAGGCGCCAACTCTCTGCAAGATCTAACTCAGTTTCCACAGAATCAGCAAGCTTTGTTTCGATTGCCATATTTGTCAGCATTGTGAGGTTGGTTTTCTTCTGAAAAACCTTTGAAATAGATTAGATTGAAGGTAGGCTGAGATTAAATAACCCATGTGGCCTATTGTACGTTAGTGATTCAGGATGTCCCTCTGTAGAGTAAACCAAATAATAAAACCAAATACAAAATTAGATGAAACTGATGAGCAAATAGTTGAAATAGCAGAAGCTGCAACTAACATTCATGATGTTTTGCATGAAATGTTACAGATAAAAGGTTGAAAGAGACGGCTAACAGCAGATAACCAGCAGAAACAGAAAATGTAATGGATGAAGGTTTGAAGTAGCTGAAGGTGAATACAGAGTTGAAATATTCAGCTTCTGCCACATGTACAAATACAAACTTGACCAAACTTAAACACTGACAGTTCAACTATATCCAAACATTTCTGAAACAATATTCACTTTAATACAATTTGTTAAGAATATGACTGAAAAAGAAGCAAAGAGCCTTTTACTCCTGATAACTATAGGTGTTGACTTCGTGTCATCTCAGAGACAGAGGGCAGCAGAGATCAATGTTCAGTGATTGTTTTAGTTAATCTGGAACTTTAAATGGCAAACATACAGAAAAAGGTTGTCTTTAAATCCATCCAAGACAAACTTCATCTCAACTGTTTGTTTACATTCACTCATTTTATGCAAACTATTGTTTCAGACACAAATGCAAAAAATGCCATTGGGTTTATAATTAGCTGTTGATTCCTGAGACATCAGTGTTAAGATTTAAAGATACATTTTATTTTACTATGAAAACTAAAACTAACTTTATCATATTATTAAACCAGAAAATATTGAATTGTTCATACACAAAATAAATAGATTTTTAAACAAGTCAAAATTATCTAAGATTTTCTATATATAACAGAATCTGAGATGATAAAACTGCTCTTCTAAATGAGATGACATTAAAAACATGGTATTGTGATCTTTTATCAAACCATGTCAGTGCTAAATGCAGAAAAAATTCATCCCTACTCCTACATCAATTTTTTAGTCTCTGTCTGTAATGTTCTATTACAATATGTTACTCCAGAAAGACCTGATGAGCAACTTATCTGTGCCACTGAAAGCTGACTCCATTGCCACTAATACATCATTATCTCCTTGGGTGCATCCTCAGTAGGTCTCTCCTGTTCTCTCCTGTGCGTGTAGGCCGCGTGGTCATACACGTAGATTAAGGCAATGGCGCAGAGAGACAGCACCATGTAAGGGATGACCAGGTAGTATCCTACAAGCATCTCTGAAGCTTGGTCCTTTAGGTCCATCGCAATATTCCCTGAGAAGTTCTTTATCAGATCCTCTGCCACGATGGTCACATTGACATTCACCACAAATATGATAAGGACCACAACTGACAAGCATGCTGCAAGAGAAAGTACAGCATGGTCACAGATGAAAGACCGGGACAGAATTGTACCACAAGCTCTGCTTCAACTGGGTGTGCAACATAGTACAAAATACAGTGGTGTGAAAAAGTGTTTGCCCCCTTACTGATTTCTTATCTTTTTGCATGTTTGTCACACTGTAATGTTTCAGGTCGTCAAACAAATTTATATATTAGTCAAAGATAACACAAGTAAACACATCATGCAGTTTTTAAATGAAGGTTTTTATTATTAAGGGAAAACAAAATCCAAAACTACAAAGCCCTGTGTGAACAAGTGTTTGCCCCCCTGTCAAAACACTGGTTTATCGCACCTGAGTTCAATTTCTCTAGCCACACCCAGGCCTGATTACTGCCACACCTGTTCGCAATCAAGAAATCACTTAAATAGGACCTGCCTGACAAAGTGAAGTAGACCAAAAGATCCTCAAAAGCTAGACATCATGCCGAGATCCAAAGAAATTCAAAACCAAATGAGAAAGAGAATAATTGAGCTCTATCAGTTTGGAAAAGGTTATAAAGCCATTTCTAAAGCTTTGGGACTGCAGCGAACCACAGTGAGAGCCATTATCCACAAATGGCGAAAACATGGAACAGTGGAGAACCTTCCCAGGAGTGGCCGGCCGACCAAAATTACCCCAAGAGCGCAGCGACAACTCATCCAAGAGGTCACAAAAGACCCCACAACAACATCCAAAGAACTGCAGGCCTCACTTGCCTCAGTTAAGGTGAGTGTTCATGACTCCACCATAAGAAAGAGACTGGGCAAAAATGGTTTGCATGGCAGAGTTCCAAGACGAAAACCACTGCTGAGCAAAAAGAACATAAAGGCTCGTCTCAGTTTTGCCAGAAAACATCTTGATGATCCCCAAGACTTTTGAGATAATACTCTGTGGACAGATGAGACAAAAGTTGAACTTTTTGGAAGGTGTGTGTCCCATTATGTGTGGCGTAAAAGTAACGCCGCCTTTCAGAAAAAGAACATCATACCAACAGTAAAATATGGTGGTGGTAGTGTGATGGTCTGGGGCTGTTTTGCTGCTTCCGGCCCTGGAAGACTTGCTGTGATAAATGGAACCCTGAATTCTGCTGTGTACCAAAATATCCTGAAGGAGAATGTCCGGCCATCTGTTTGTGGCCTCAAGCTGAAGCGAACTTGGGTTCTGCAGCAGGACAATGATCCAAAGCACACCAGCAAGTCCACTTCTGAATGGCTGAAGAAAAACAAAATGAAGACTTTGGAGTGGCCTAGTCAAAGTCCTGACCTGAATCCAATTGAGATGCTGTGGCATGACCTTAAAAAGGCGGTTCATGCCCGAAAACCCTCCAATGTGGCTGACTTACAACCATTCTGCCAAGATGAGTGGGCCAAAATTCCTCCACAGCGCTGTAAAAGACTCATGGCAAGTTATCGAAAACGCTTGATTGCAGTTGTTGCTGCTAAGGGTGGCCCAACCAGTTCTTAGGTTTAGGGGGCAAACACTTGTTCACACCGGGCTCTATAGTTTTGGATTTTGTTTTCCCTTAATAATAAAAACCTTCATTTAAAAACTGCATGATGTGTTTACTTGTGTTATCTTTGACTAATATATAAATTTGTTTGACGATCTGAAACATTACAGTGTGACAAACATGCAAAAAGATAAGAAATCAGTAAGGGGGCAAACACTTTTTCACACCACTGTATGCTGATTTATTTCTGGGTATTCCACTTGTGTTATTCCCAGATGTTACGTGCTATAATATTTGTTTCACTTACCACTGAGTGAGCTGCAGGTGTAGATGCCAATAGGCCCCATGTAGGTTTGATAAGGGTTACTCACACTGTTGTACAGGCAGATGAGGATGCTGACGGCAGAAAACAACAGACACAGGGCCAACAGGCACACAACCAGCCCGTGCAGGACTACTGAGGAACCGCCTATTTTTTTCAACATAGGAATCACTACACACCCACACACACACAGGAGAATATTATGGTTACATTATTTAGCAGAGCTTACATGCATTATGTTATATTACAGGCTGCTGAAGAGGCCTCAACTTTGAGAATCAAATCGAATGGTGTCAGTAGTGGTAATGTGCACTAATGGTGTACTGTAGGTACACAATAATGATGTCTTGTTCGCCACAAAAAACATTATTTCTTCATTTAACTAGCCCCGCAGATAGGTTTGGTTGTGTTTGCCCTTGTTATTAGATATCCAACAATATCACCAAAAGTAATAGCATCTATCCACAAACAGCTGTTCTGTGGATCTGCGGATTATTACAGTAACAGAGACGTTGGCCCTGGAAAGACATGCTGCTATTGAATTATTTAAATGTAATTTTACAGTGCTGCTGTTTGAAAACAGGAAATCTCAGACATGGATATCGCAAAACAGTTCCATTCTACAAGTTTGTAAATGAGGAAGTGTGTTGTATTCTGGGTGAGCTGGCCATTTGAGAGTCATGGAAATTTACCTTGAAAAGCATCTGTGTTATCAAATGTAGGGCAAGAGAATCTCTTCAGAACGCCATCAAAAAGCTTTAAAGTGATTACAGCAGTTCCATTAAAGATACCAAGTTCTTTTCTTGCGCACTTCATTGTTGTTGTAGCCCACTCTGTTGACATGCCATACCCCAGCACGCCAACAGATATAGCAGTAACCAGCGCACTGGACAGGAAATATAGACTTTTCTTAGTGGAAGGCATTTTTGCTGTATTCCAGTGGTAAATCTAAATCCCGGTGTCTGTTCCTTAATGCTCCGATGAAGCCTCAGAAGCCGATTAGGACCCTCTAATCCTCTGAAGATTCTGTGTATGAGTTATCTTCCTGGGTGGAGTGAATATGGACTAGAAGTCATAAAATCTTTCGATTATGACTGTGACCTTTGGTTTGAAAGGAAAAGACAGGGCTGGTTGTCATGGTAGGGACACCAGCTTTCCCCAACAGTTTAAACATGAGAAGAAAGTCATTTGAACAAAAGCAACTTCAGAGAATGTAAAAGATTTTATATTTTTAAGAAACTTTGAATAACTCTAGTTACTGTTGATCGGTGTCTACACATAGGCCTGGATTCAAAGTTCTTGAAACTGTAGAGTCATAAAACATCATGCAGATTAATTATTTACCTGTGCCATTATGGGAAGAACATTGGCACTGTGCTATCAGTGAAGCGCCAAAGCAAAGACAGGGGTCAGTATCATTTCACGGAAAATATGAGAATGTATTTATGATTAGGGTGTGACGTTCTAATACAAAGATTTCCTCTTCACACTTCAGGGATTAATACAAATACAGTAATATCATAAATAAACAAGGACATTACAGAGGAAACCTTTACCACCAATCCTGTTTAAATTGATTGTATCTGATTTTTTTTTTAAATCCTAATTTCAGCAGCAGGCTTGTATTTAGCTCTCTCAAACATTTTTAATGCTTTACAGTGCAGAGGTAAGAAACCGGGGCCATCTTAACTTAATGAACTCTTTCTCTTTTGGTCAACACTGCATCTCTCTCAGAGTTCAGCAGAACATGGTGTAATCTCTGTTTTATATAGTTTCATTATGCCAACATACAGTTTCGACATTGTAATTGTTGTTTTATATTACTTTGATAGAGGTAATAAATAAGCTTTGTGGGCTTTTTTCTCCCGACATTTTAAAATTATTTAGGGTGATTTCATTCCACAGCTCATACGTAGAATGTTATTATAACTGGGACCAAATCAAGCCCAAACTATAAAACCCAAACCATTTCCAAAGTGACTTGAGGACAAGCAGGAGAAGGGCAGGTGTCCTGTGGAGGCGCACATGTTGTAATGAGGTTTGCGTCCAGAGCGTGGCTCCCTTTCTTCGCGCAGCGCACGGAGCAGCCGTGTGGCCGCTGTCATCCAGCTCTGTTGTGTTGGAGTAAACACAAACTCCTCCTTCCCGCTGACAGGCGACAACGCTGAAACGCCGCCTCGTCTTTTCCAAGACAGTCTGCGCTCAGGACTAAACGCTTAAGCCGTCAAGGTGAGTAGTGGGATTACTCCGTTTTAATGAGCTGCCTTTTGCATGTTGACAATTATTTAGCGAGTGGAAAACGTCAATTTTTCAGTGGCATATAGGCGACGTCGTGTTACCTGTGTGTTACGCAGCGGCGCGCGGGTGATTGTGAGCCGTCCGTTCAGGTGTGCGTTCAGCGTTGGCGTGGCGGGGATTCCTCGTTAAAGGCAACATGTTTGTCTTTGGCTCAAATGTTGCTCTGCGTTGGACAACCTGCACTTCATCAGTGCGGGTTAATGGAGCAAGTGTTTGTTTCTGTGCTCGTATGTCTTTTAGGCCTTTGTTTCCCCTCGCTTATCTGTTCTGTTGGGCTTTTGCATGACAATAAAGATTAGGCTTCTTTCTATTTGTTGTGTAGCTGATCGTCTATGAGGGCTGAGCCGGTTTCAACACGTCGGTGAATAGAGGATATTGGTAGGCTACTTCAGATATCAGGATGTGCTAAGACATGTTACAGTAGGAGGACGCTGCTCCGGGGCGTTGAGTCCTCTAGATATGTAATTGGCTAAGCAACTTGGTGTTGGATTCAGAAATATGTGTAATTTTGTTGTGGTTTGTAATGAAATAATCACTGGCCATGACATTAATCCCCATAAGGATGGTGTCTCCTCAGGGCAGCCAGAGGTCAGGGTCACCAATAGATCAGGGTCCCTGGAGCAGATTGTCTGTAGCAGGGTGCTGCGTAAAGGGAAGGGGAGATGAATGACTGTCCCAAGTCTGACATTTGTCTAATCAGACCATGGAAATGCAAAGTTACATGAAGCAAGAGGCCGTGAAATTGTGCTCCACCGATCATTAAAGAGAGAACAGACAGTAAAGCCTATACTCCTGAAAAGACTAATTTAGATGTAATTCTGAGACAAAGTGCATTAATAGTCCCACAGTGAAAGTAATTCTGCATACCTTTTTGTCACGGTTTCCTTTTTGTGTCTTAGCCCTTGCAGGACCTGTGTTCACAGATTCTGGTGCTTCGCTGTGCTGTCACGGTACTTTGGGCCATATACAGTAACATGGCAACATGACTGGATAGGTTCATTAATGTCAGAGAGAGGTTGCTTAATTACATTAGACTGACCAAGGCTCCTTCTAGAATGAACAAATGGGGGGAAAAAGAAAGCATTTTATTGTAGAAATCTTGTTGTGCCACTCATGGAAATAAGAAATAGCCTTCATCTCACCCTGACTACAGTCTGGTGTCACGTCCAGTTGTTTTTAAACAGTGATTCTGCTCCTTTATGCTGTATACACCTGACTTCTTAGCAGTTTAATACTCAGGCCAGTCATGTCAAATGGGCCAAGTGAGCCATGCTCAGCTGTCTTTTCTTGGGCCCCAGCCCAACCTCTTTAAACGCAGAGCTTTTATTGACCACAGACTTTAGACAATCAGCTGTCAACTGCACATCTTAAAAACGAGTTCAAAAAAGTGTATTCCTTCATTTTCTGACACACAGTTGGCTTCATTTGTAACAGTCTTCTAATATCATATTCACAGAGCAGCCACATCAGATACCTTTCTTCACCTTGGTTTTAGTGTCTTGAACAGTTTTGTTTCTTACATAGCCGTTCTTTATGTCTTTTATAATTTAATCTACACTGCATAGTCCTAAGAAGAATGGGAGTTGCTTTGGCAGATGTAACGATGCAGGATGCAGTGAAAACAAATGGTCAGTACTTGCCAAGACAAATGAGACAGTTTAAGAACGAAAGAAGAAGTAACATTCTGCTGCTGAGGGCTGTCGGCAGATTGATCTGGGTTCTCCATGTTTGAACCCAGTGCAATTCTGTTCTCTGAAGCTGATTTTGTACATGTGGAAAAAAGAAACCTGCACGGCTGTACATTCAGTCTCTGCCCTAATCAAAATGATCCAAGCCAATAGTTTGTAAACTGGCCCTCTTATGCTCTGCTTCTCCTTTATTGTGAAGTCTTAAGTGACAACCTTAACCTGTACAGTATTTATCATGTGCATTGATATACAGTATGTAACTAGGAGATTTGGGTTATTAAAGGGAAAAAGGTGAGAAGGTCGGTTGTTTGCAGTCTAACCCTCTTACACTGTGCAAATACTTTATGGATTTATAATGGAAGTAGCTATATTCAGCCTACATTTAACTAACACACTGCCAAAATGCTCTTTTCTAGAGTGTTTTGGAGCTATTTTTAGGTTGGCATATTGGAACTCTTGTGAAGTACAAGTTATCTGTATGTGGGTCTGCTGCGTGATGTGAGCAGATGTGGTGATTAATCAAATCCACAGTGGGGTGAAGAGGAACGACTTGCGCATTCCTGGAGTTTCTAACAGCTCGCTGGGTACAAGGCTCAAAGTGCCAGCCCCCGAGTTAATCTCTGCTGTCCGCCCACCCTCTGTTTATCCAGCACCTCTCTCGGCATCTTGGAAACGCTCCGACTCTGACTTTGAGCTGCCTCAGTGAGACTACATGCAGTAAGTGCTGCTCTCTCCCTGAGGCTGCAGTCACATTAACTACATTGTGCTTGAAGGTGCGCTTTTTCCTGAAATACAGGAGGCGCATAATGAACTAATGGATATAAAGACAATTAAAGATGAGCCTGGTCAGATATTTTCTGCAAGAAATGGTTCTAGCCAGCATCAAAGAAGGCCCCTGAATTACGCATGAAAACTGTAAAAGCAACGTCTACCTCTTGATACAGTGTTTGTTTTGTGCTTTCTTTAGTGGAAGCTTGCTGGAGCACATTAGGCTGTAGTATGTTGTAACCATAGGCTTGTTTGTGCTTGCTGCTAGTTCTCTAGAATGCACTGGCATCATGCTGATAAAACATATTATAATTCATTTGGCATGAGGAGATAAATTTAACCTTTATTTAACCAGGCAGTTGGATTATAAACTCAAAGTAATGATCAGGGAAGGGGCTACAGCTTGTATTGGATGTGACATACAGTAGTATTTACCAAAAAAAAGCATAAAATATGATTAAAAGCAGTGCTAGAACAGCAAAACCAGGGAAAGCATGAACAACAGGTGGGGACTTCTGTAGCGTCTGGAGAGCCCCACAGCTTCCCACAGAGGTGAGACCTCAGTGACATAATGAGGGTGTGTCTCCATCAAAGCAGGGCTGATTAAACACATGGCTGTGCAAACTGCTGCCTGCAGCCGCCCTGCACCATGTGATCTGTGTTACACTCGAGGTTGGCATTAATGCTTCCATGGAGGGAAAGTGAGACACTGCTGTGGCTAGTGACTGATATATGTACAAGCCTGAAGCTGTGCAGATCTTTGTGTGTGTTGACTCAGCTGTACTTATAAGGCAGTTTTGTCACTGTACTGTAGCATAGAAACTACTGGACAGAGATCAAGGTTCTTCCTCTTTTAGATGTGTCACCTGCCCGCTATATATACAAGGAACTTACATCCTGGTTTGAGTTAACAGTAAGGCACAGCACATGAGACTTGACAAAGATTCATTTGATGACAAAAATTGTCTATCATTCCAAAATAATGTTACAACCCTTAAAACCTTCAAGTAGAACCTGCTTATTTTAGGGCTGTGTATTGGCAAGAATCTGGCAATATGTACATATCTCAATACAGGAGTTACAGTTTGATATATTGCAATACTGTAAACAAGGTGATTATATTGCCACTGTTTTAAAAATCTAACTATAGAAGTAACATGCTACCATATGTATAAAAACTCCTGTAAAAAAGTTTAGTTCTTATGCAGAACAAGGATCTGCATTTGTCACAGTCACTAACATGCAACAACATAGCACTATGTGACACGGGAACTAATTATAAATACAAACTCTGTTTTTGAGAATCGGTACAGTATCGCAAAATGTAATACTGTGATACTCAAGTGCATCGATATGTTCTTACACCCCTACTCTGTTCTGATATTTGTTATACTGACAGGACTCACCAAGAGCTGCAACAACTAGCTGATTAGAAATAAAACCTGCAGCTATTTTGATAATAGATTAATCATTTAAGCAAAAATGTCAAACATTTGGCGACTCTAGGTTCTCAAAAGTGCGAATCCCTCCTCCAGTTTCTCTGTTGTATTTCTGTTTGTTGCTACATAAAGTAATCACATTACAAGTACAAGCTGCTAGGAGACATGTTTTGGGAGACTGAGCTGATGACCTTGCTGTTATTTTATCGGTTCTTTATGAGGGGAAAAACCTTTAAGAGCTATATGCTTTGCCCATGTTTCAGTTTGCAGAGATATCAAGGAGATTGTCAAAGCTTGTTTGTTATATTCGCACACTTCTGTACTTGCCATCAGCTTCGGGTGGGGGTGGTTTGTTGACAGATGTGATTTAGACATAAAAACTTGTACTGAATTTAGCTATGAATTTGTTTTCTTAGACTAAAATATGGCAACCTGCTCAGGGAAAGTAGGGTGGAGACCAGAAGAGATGATGATTGCACTATGTGGCCTGAATTAACTGAAGTGAAAGTAAACATCTCCAGCTTCGGCTTAAAATGTGTTTCAGCCCACTTTATTTTATTTGAATGAAAGATAAGGAAAAGCAAATATTAGTTTTTCTGTGAGGGAAAACAAAGCAAACCAGAGACCAGGACCTTGGTTATTATTGCTGTGACAACCAGGAAAATAGATCCAGCTGTTGTGGATTTGAAGGCTGTTTGATGTTAGTGCGAGTATCTGCTGTCATTTTATAAGCACATAAAATATCACACCCACACATGCCTACACATCTCCATGTTTATGATAAAGTACTGTATAATGTCTCTAGAGTGTGAAACTGAGGCTTGTCTCTGCACATGTTCAGGGAATTACTGTAATTTCTTAAAAAGGCTTTTATTTTGTTGTTTAATATGCCTCAGAAATAACATGGAATGTTAAAGATCTTGTTGGCACAGAACAAGGTAAAGTGGCGTCTGAGTGCAAAAGCATCAGGCTGATTCTGACATGGTGCTGGTGCATATAGAAAGAGGGATGACCTCTCATTTCTGCAGCACCATAA